CTGAATCCACCGAACACTGAAGCATCACACACAGACCTTCATACAGATTTTACCCAAGTAACAGTGGAAGAAATCAGCGAGGCCATCAGACAAATCAAGAGTAGTAAAGCGGTAGGACCAGAAAACATACCAGCTGAAACAATGAAATAGGACGTAGAGACAACTAAACAATTTTTCACATCCTCTTCATAAACATTTAGGGGCGATAACGGGTACCAAAAGACTGAAATATTGGTGATCCTAATAGAAGATCCGGTCAGCGTCGAACACCTTCAACACTACGGAATATTTGTGAAGCTGAACATTGTGATACGGAACTCCTACGACGAACTAAATTGCTAAACCGTGCATGTAGGACAGCTCACAAATCCATTCCAACTGAAGACTGGTCTTAGACAAGGCTGTCTACTCTGACCTTTTGCGATTCTGGTTTTTGACTGGATTATGAAGACCGCTACATCTCCAGAGAACCATGAAATACTGTGAAAGCATTCAGCACAACAAGACGATTGAGACTTTTCAGATGACTTGGCCTTATCACCACATACACTACAAGTCAGTCGAAGATGGCTAGTGCAGTGGAAGCTTAAACACAAATGGGCGTGAATATCAAAAGGACATAAAAAAAAACTCACAAGTATAACAGAGAGCAATAGCCAAGTCGCACTCGATAGAAAACCTTTATATACCTGGTCAAGGATCTGTGCCTCAAGAGGAGCAACAGGTATACGTAAGTGAAAAACATAGATACTCCAACTAATCACAAACCAAACGTACTAAAGCATGTAACAAAGGTTCACATGAAGAAAATCCACTTAGGATGAACAGATGCCAATTAAGGCTGAACATGAATACTGACAAAGGAATAATAGAATCTCTTACAAATGAATACCTAATCTAGACATAAAGACATCGTTTGAGGAAAATCCACAACCAACTAAGATTGTTATGTATAACTCACAACTGATGATTAATTATAAATCAGGTATCATTGTTCATCCTCTTGAAATTCAACTGATATCACATCAGTTGACTGACCAACAGCTCCAAAAGAATTCAAAATAACAGTCATTTGATGTATGTGATTATCGTAACTACAGTCTTAACATGAAAACTATATTCCATTCCCTGTATAATGTTTAAAAACTATCATTTAGGACCTTTAGTCTCACCAGCGAATGCTTAACTTCTAGACCACTGAGCTGGCATCCAATGGTATTAATGTTTAACTTCAACCAATCCACGAAATCATGGGACCATCTTCAATTGTTTGTGGTAGATACCTGCTTCTATCTGACACGATTAGCTCCACTGGTCAAGGCTTCTCACTAGAACAAAACGGCTGTTTAGTACTTCAACGTTTCCAATGGTGGTCTAACATTCGTCGATTCATGATCTCAATCGAAAACTTAACAATCTCCACAACCCTATACTGCTATATGTTATTGTTAAATACACTTGATTATGTTTTGATTAAGTAGGAACGACGCAATGAAGGTTAAGAGCTTAAATCTAATGAAATGGAATTTACTTCAAATGAAACACAAAAATGTATTTCTCAATCGTTACTCAAAATGAGTCAGGTACTAAACATACAAATAAAAATATAATATGGTCTTTTGCGAATTCTTCGATATGCTCTTCAGAAGCCAGGAAGAAATTGAGAACATTTCGTCCAATCACTACAAGAAGCACAAATGCCTCGAAAATTTTTGAATTATATGCTAAACTCTGATTAAATGATTACTTACCCTGTTACTAGATGCACCATACTTCAAGAAGCTTCTGCAGGTTAAACTTATAAGCACCCTTGTTTTCTACACATAAATGAACCTCGATGAGGAGCTTTTTTTCTTACGTCGTCACTTTCCCCTACCATTCAGGGTTCAAGGAAGCGCTCAAGAAGTCATTATCAAGCATTTCATTTGTAGACTTATTAAGTTATGTCAACAAAAGCCTTTAGTGTTCGGGTACAGAATATTCAATAGGTAATATGAAAAGTCTTTATGTCAATGTAATGGTAATATGCCGTCTTCGTTTTTCACTTCAGTAAGAATGTATCTTTTAATTTAAATCATGATAATATTTTGCATCTAGTAAATGATTAGTGTAAATTCACATGATATCGTTTTACTTGAATCTTTCCACTAATGTTTAGGACTGCAATTGATCATTCTCTTATTGGCATATGTGCATACCATACGTATTGTTTCGATGGGAAGATTCAAGTAAACAATATAAAGTGAATTTAAACTTCACCTGATTGCACAAGCAAGCGACTATCAGGACTCAATAGCTAAGTGGATAAAGCGTTGGTGTTTAAAGCGAATGGTACTGGGTTCGAGTCCCACAGTGAACATCAACTCTAAGATACAGGTACATTCAGCTGACGAGTCCCAAAAAGGACGAAGCGTGTGTCAAACTGGATTTCACTGCTAACCACTAACCATCTATGCTTATCATGATTAATGTAAATGTTTACAGTATTTGAAAAAATATTAATACTGACTTAAACTGCTCTGATTAGGGAAATGATTAACAAAGACAGAAGAAACTCGAATTTATGATTTACCTATGAGAAACTGATGATTATCAATAAAGTTACATTAAAATACAGTAGATCCAAATATTCTGTATCAAGTTAATGGTCCCTATTTATATCTCAGGATAGTGTTCTAAACTATAATAGCTTAAGTATAAAGAATACAGAGGAATGACTAAGTAATTTAATGTTGAATATTGATGTGAACCGGGAAACAAGAAGCCCTGACAAACTACGAAGGCTATTTTTCGGGACGTTATTTCATTTTATTCAAAACTTGTAAAACACAGTCACATTTATTTTTGTCCCTAATCTATTCTACAGAACATAAGCTTTCGTTCGATGTATCATTCACTGTCATACCTTTTTCTGTTCTGAAGCTATTGTAATTCAAATATATCATTTCGCACCCTATTTTCTACTCTAATTCCCAGCTTTGGACATAATTGTATTTTTCCTAATTATTGTACGTTGCGGTCGGGTTATTCACTTATTTATTCATGTACCTTTTTACACTAATCTGAATTCAGTAAATCCAGTGAGTTCAGTGGTCAGGGAAATAGATCGAGTAGTGTTCCAGTTGTCTTGTCTTCTCTCATTTGTGTGCTTGCCCACCAATCAGGTGACAGAATAGTTTTCTTCTCTCTACCCCATCTTGAACTCACGCGTACTAGTCTCAAGGTTAAGCTGATCAGCCTATCGCATCAAGGTCGAAATCTAGATTAGACAAGTATCCTCGGCACCAAAAAGTGGGTAGACAAATCAAGGTCATAACAAATATATATTAAAATTTATAGTTTTTCATAAGAATATATATATGTACTTTTGACATCCATCAAATTCATTAAGAGTAACATTGTTTTTAAATTATTTTACTTAAACTACATTGTATGGAGCTGAAACATGGAGAAGAACTACTACAACCATTATCAAAGAAGTACAAGTATTTATAAATAGTTGTCTACACAAGATACTCAATATCCCTTGATCAGATACTATCAGTATCAACTTAATTTGAAAGAGAACAAACCAACTTCTTACTAAAGAGGAAATTAAGAAAAAAAGACGTTGGAAGTGTATTTAGGAATATATATTACAGAAATCATCAAACTACATCATGAGGCTGAAGAGAAAGACAAGAAAAGAAAGTCAAATAACACAGTATATTGGGAATTGGAAACAGACATCAAAAGAATGAATAACAACTAGAAACATCTGAGAAGGATTGCTTGTGACAGAGTGAGATGAAGAATGTTGGTGAGTTGTCTATGTTTATTTAAATAGATTGTTGTACTAATCTAACTCCATCACTAGATCATTGTTGTGTCTTTTGTACAAAAGTAAGTATATATATCTATATTAGTATTATATAATCACAAATGAAAGTATATTTATTCATTGATGATAATAAATTATTATTAATAAAAGACACTAACCAATTGCACTCTGGTAAAAAAAACAACAAAAACTAGTGGACATCAGTTTGTTTTGATGTTATGTGATACTAAAATTTATTATAAGAAGGGATCTTGTGGAGATTCTTATAAATTTCACTGGTTGAAATCATGAGTTAATTGAAGCTAGATCACCACCATGGAAAACTTGAAGACACTGGACAGCCGTTTCGTCCTAGCATGGAACTCCTCAGCAATGCGCATTCACAATCACGCCACCCACCTCACGAAGTTCAAACCCAGGACCTACTGGTCTCATAAGCGAGCGCTTAACCATTAGACCACTGAGCCGTACACCATCCAACGGTATTAATGTCTAACATCAACCAAAACACGAAGTTGCGCCACCGTACACCATTGTCTTCAGTGAGTTGATATCTCACAACACAACTAGTTGAACTCCACTGGTCACTGCTTCTTGCTAGAACTCCAGGAGTGTTTCATACTAGGATGAAACAGCCATCCAGTGCTTCCAGGTTTTCCATGGTGGTGGTCTAGCTTCAATTGACTCATGATTTCAACCAGTGAAATTACAGAAATTATTCTCTAATTGATTGATTTACAATTTGAAAGGGAGTGAAATTATATGATCACCATTGATCGGATACCACCAGCATCAACCTACTGTGAGAAAGGATAAACCAGATTCGAGCTGAAGAAGAAATTATGAAATGACCTTGAAAATGAATAGGACATATATAACAGAAGTCATCAAACTGCATCATGAGGCTGAAGAGAAAGACAAGAAAAGAAAGTCAAATAACACAGTATATTGGGAATTGGAAACAGACATCAAAAGAATGATTAACAATTGGAAAGAACTGGTAAAGTTTGCCTAGGATAGAATTAAATGAAGAATGATGGTTGGTGGCCTATGCTCCTCCACGAGGGGTAACTGGCATAAGTAAGTAAGTAAAGTAATTTAATAATGAACTAAATAACATGTAATAATTCAATCAAATCAATGAATCAATTAATCAATTAATCAATCAATAATTACTTACCGATTATTTTCTTTTAAACATATTTCATTAAAATGATCTAATTCAGTTTTATTATATTTATTAATTGTTTGCTGATCATGTCGATGATCATCAATAATCATATTGAATAATCAATATTCCATTTGGAAATCGACGTAAACTGTCTTTTCTCTTTTTTTCTCTTTTCTCTTTTTTTTTATATTAATTTAATTAGAAAAAAAAATGGTAGAGAAGAAAAAAATGAAGAATTTGATAAAAGATTAATATTCTTTTCTCTTTTTTTTTTCTGTTTATTTTATTATCGTGTTATTCTACTTATTCACTTCTTCCTTCTTTATTTCGTTTTTTTTTTAGTTTTTGTTTGTTTGTTTGTTTGTCTGTCATTTTCATTGTACGTTCTATAATATGACTCCCCTACAAATTGTAAACCAATCAATTAAAGAATCATTTTTATATGACATAGCAACAAAAATTGATATCGACTAGTGTTTGTTGTTGTTTTCACCAAAGTACAATGAGTTAGTACCTTTTATGGATAATAATTTATTATCATCAATGAATAAATATACTTTCATCTGTGATTATATAATACTAATATAGATATATATACTTACTTTTGTATAAAGGACACAACAATGATCTAGTGATGGATTTATATTAGAACAACAATCTATTTAAATAAACATAAACAACCCACCAACATTCATTATTCAACTCTATCCTGGATGATCGTTTCCAGTTGTTTCCAATTGTTATTCATACTTTTGATGTCTGTTTCCAATTCCCAATATACTGTGTTATTTGACTTTCTTTTCTTGTCTTTCTCTTCAGCCTCATGATGCAGTTTGATGACTTCTGTTATATATGTCCTATTCATTTTCAAGGTCATTTCATAATTTCTTCTTCAGCTCGAATCTGGTTTATCCTTTCTCACAGTAGGTTGATGCTGGTGGTATCCGTTCAATGGTGTTCATATAATTTCACTCCCTTTCAAACTGTAAACCAATCAATTAGAGAATAATTTCTGTAATTTCATTGGTTGAAATCATGAGTCAATTGAAGCTAGACCACCACCATGGAAAACCTGGAAGCAGTGGATGGCTGTTTCATCCTAGTATGAAACACTCCTGGAGTTCTAGCAAGAAGCAGTGACCAGTGGAGTTCAACTAGTTGTGTTGTGAGATATCAACTCACTGAAGACAATGGTGTACGGTGGCGCAACTTCGTGTTTTGGTTGATGTTAGACATTAATACCGTTGGATGGCGTACGGCTCAGTGGTCTAATGGTTAAGCGCTCGCTTACGAGACCAGTAGGTCCTGGGTTTGAACTTCGTGAAGAGGGGGCGTGATCGTGAATGCGCATTGCTGAGGAGTTCCCTGCTAGGACGAAACGGCTGTCCAGTGTCTTCAAGTTTTCCATGGTGGTGATCTAGCTTCAATTAACTCATGATTTCAACCAGTGAAATTTATAAGAATCTCCACAAGACCCCTTCTGATAATAAATTTTAGTATCACATAACATCAAAACAAACTGATGTCCACTAGTTTTTGTTGTTTTTTTCACCAAAGTACGATGAGTTAGTACCTTTTTTTGGTGATAATTTATTGTTATCAATGAATAAATATACTTTCATTTGTGATTATATAATAATATTAACATTGTTATGCTTGGTTATTACTAATTGCTGTGCCGGAAAACGCTGTTCACTTAGACTTGGAACGAGGGACCTCGGCAATTCCCATGACCTAAAGTAAGAACACAAAGTCTGATATAAGTGAAGATTTATTAGCTCCGAAACTTTATGACGACAACGACTACGATGATGATGATTCTAGGTGGAAAAATACACTCATTTATATATTGATTGAACACCCATTTTGATTAAGAATTAGAATGAAATCACATATATGAAAAATATACAGAGGTATAATAAATCACATACAGAACATAGTTCAGATCAATGGAATACAAGAATACCGTATATTATACAGAATAAAATATCATACCGGCAAAAAAAAAATAAATACTACATTGAGTAATCACTACATTGAATCAAGATGGATGTAATGATGAATAAAACGCATATTGAGTGAATCAATTGAAAATTGACTTTTCTTCGCATCATATCAAACATAGATATATATCAACTGTTGAGATCATGAATCAATTGAAGCTAGACACTACCATGGAAAACCTAGAAGCACTGGATGTCTGTTTCGTCCTACTGTGGGACTCCTCAGCAGTGCGCACCCACCATCCTGTCCACTGCGAGATTCGAACCCAGGACCTATCAGTCTCGCGAGCAAGCGCTTAACCATTAGACTAGTGAAATTTCTAAAATATCAACAAAACTGCTCATCTGCTCACTAGTGACTGACTTCAAGAGGTATTTACTGGAGTTCTTTTTTTATTTTATTTTAACACATATGTATAGGTACAAGGAGGCACCAAGTACATATGCGCCACACGAATCTCAATTGATTTGTGTGAGGGCTGTGATACTGCCCGGGTGCCCAAACCGAAACAGGTGGTTTTCTTAGGGGACCACACCCCGAGCCTTCGACCTGAACGTCTGATCCACAAGGCAGTGGGGCATCGTAAGGAGATGCAGTTCCATGGTAGTCGGCTACCAACGATTGGTTCATATGCCATGTGCACCATTGAATTGGGATCTGGTTAAAGCGCCGGACATTCGCTTTTCGTCCTCTCATTTTCGGAAACAACACCTGTGCCACGAGAAGGCAGTGAGTAGGACTTTGCTGGCAGAGGCTATATGTGCGTGGCCATGTGAGAGCATTTGGAGAGGGAGAGCGGACTCTCCCCACTCTCGGCCGTTTCAGGGCATTTGGAGTTCTAGTGAGAAGCAGTGACCAGTGGAGTTCAACCGGGTCAGTTGTGAGATAGTAACTCACTGATGACAATGGTGGATGTGTCACTCAACTTCGTGTATTAGTTGAAGTTAGATATTAACACCGTTGGATGCCGACCGACTCAGTGGTCTAGTTGGTTAAGCGCCTGACGCAAGACCAGTAGGTCCTGCGTTCGAATCTCGCGAGGCAGGATCGTGGATGCGCACTGCTGAGGAGTCCCACAACAGGACGAAACGGCTGTCCAGTTCTTTCAGGTTTTCTATGATGGTCTAGCTTTAATTGACTCATGATGTCAACTATTGAAATTACTACAATCTCCACAAAACCCCTTCTGAAACCTAGTGGATTAATGTTTCAGTATGGCGATTTATGGAAATTATAGTATTTCTCCAGTTGGATTCATGAGTTGATATAAGATAAACTACCATTAAAAACCTTGAAGCATTAGAGAGCCTTTTCATCCTAGTATGGGACTACTCAGCAGTTCATATTCACGAACTCAAGTAACACATGCAGGATTGTGTATGAACATTACTGAGAAGTCCTATTCTGAGATGAAACAATTGTTCAGTGCTTCGAGATTTTCAATGATGGTCTAGAATAACGTTTCGTTAACATTCTGTGAAATTAACATTTCAAGCTGTTTATCCAGTATTCTCCATCCAACCCTGTCCCAAGCAATCCTTTCCAATTCTTTCCTGTTGCTATTTATCCTTTCAATATCTGCTTTCATTTCCCGATATAATGTGTTCTTTGGCCTTCCATTTTTCCACTTTCCTTCAGAATTCCAAGTGAGGGCTTGCCTCTTGATAAAGTTTAGTGATTTCCGTAATGTATGTCCTTTCCATTTCCATTGTCTTTTTCGAATTCTTTCTTCAGTTGAAAGCTGGTTTGTTCTCTTCTATAATAGTCTGTTTCTGATGGTATCCAGCCAATGGATATTGAGTATTTTGCGTAGACAAATGTTAATAAATACTTGTTTATATGAATATTAAATTAATTTAAAAGACGACGTCAGTATTTTCTCCAACTTTTTCAATGTTTAGTGAATATATAGTATCCTGAATTCTCATTAAATGTTCGGTTTATTTCTTTCGCAGAGAATTTCATATCCAATTGTAATTTTAATTAGACTATAATCTATGGACGAATCAATGTAATGTGTAGTGAATGCTACTGATGTCAACAGATATAAGTAGTATGTATCATCCATCGAAAGTGAAATGCCTAGCGACAGAAGGTTAAAAAGCTCAAAGAATTAACACATATATGTCAATAAAAAATGGTCAAGATTTAGTCCTTAAAATTAATAACAAGATAATTCAAGGTCATACTTTCGTACAATATATTTTTTTCAGCTTACTTCAATCTAGGGCGATAACTGACATTGAAGAACATAGTGGAGAAGATTTAGAGCTCAATTGGATGATTTGGATGAAGTTTTATTCTCTAAACTGGATGGTTTGATCGTGGAGCTTTCATTGTTCTTCTGAACGACATCAGTACAAATTTCAATTAATCCTATGGAAACCAAGAGATGAAATGACAAACGAAGAAAAGTTGGACATCATATACAAAATAAATTGCGACAAACACTACATCAGACAAGATAGACACCTTCTGTATCTTCGCCTATATAAACATCAATTACTCGTCAAAGGCCATTATATATCTTCGCTTATATCAGTGCATGTGGACAATTGCAGACGCACATTCGACTGAAACAGTGTTAAGGTCTTGGATAATGGAGTCATACTGGATACCACTGTTAACCATTATCCATCTTTGCTTATAACCTATATATTGTTAGATTAAGTTAAACATTAATACTGTTAGATCTGAACTAAAATGCTGTTCAAGACCTACTGTAATAGATTTACACGAAAGTGATGTAAAAGACTTAAAAAGTACTTATGAACTGATACTTAACACAACATAACCAAACACACAGAGATCAGAATAAAAAACACTAATCGACCAATAATATACAAGTTCGCTGAAAACTACATACAGAAATATTATGGTGTGTGTTACACATGTAGTAACGATGCGATGAGAAGTGAAATTGACGCGTGGTGGAGATGGCTAGTAAGCCAACTCCACATTTTAACTAAACGTTAATCAATATTTATAGGCATACAAAAATAAGTTACACACATGTGATGAATAGTGAGATATGAAGTGTACACACGCCTACGCGCTAATATAAAGACGGTCAAGATTGATAAGCGAATAATTAAAAAGGTGAAAA